TTTGTCATTCCTGAGAAGAAGATTTTTAAAGAATTTTCTTAATATATATTTCTATGTAAAACTTTGGTCTGCCAGTTTGGACCCGCCTTATCCCCGGGTGTCATGATTTGAACAAAATTGAATCTACACTACCTGAGGATGTTTCACCATAAGTTTTATCTTTCCTGGCACAGTGGTTCTTGAGAAGAAGATTTTTATCCAATTATCTCCCCTTGAATTAGGGCGTGGCCCTTCAATTGAACAAACTTGAATCCCCTTCACCCAAGGATGCTTTTACGCAAGTTTGGTTGAAATTGGCCCAGCGGTTCTTGAGAAGAAGTCAAAAGTGTGAAAAGTTTACAGACAGACGGACGCCGGACAAAATGTGATCAGAAAAGCTCACTTGAGCTTTCAGCTCAGGTGAGCTAAAAAGACTAAAGTTAAAAATTATGTCAGATTTAAAGTATATTAAAGATTATATATGTAATATGTTAAAATGGCAAAGCAAAACAGAAAAAATTATAGCTTTAAACCACCACTCAAAAAGATAAAAATATTAAAAAGAAACTTCAAAAACAAACAGTTAATTAAAGATATAAATAAAATGAACATAAACTGAATTTGACAAAGTCATAATATGTAAGTACACATGTAATGGAATTCAAATGAGGAACAAATATTACATTAGTGTTTATGCGTAATATGAATAACAGGTGAAAAGGGGCAGCATAACAATTCTTTGTCACAAAGTGTCATTTATTTCTTTAAAAAATTAATGTAAACAATTAATCTAATTAGCCACCAAACTTTCTGGCAAAAATGAACAAAAGTATTTTTTACCACTCAAACTCAATCGTGTGTTTTGTTTTCCTGAAGAAGCTGCAGATTGAATTATAAAAAATAAATCCTCCCCCACACAATTTATTCCTACAAACTCAAAACTTTAATGTCCACACTTCAAAAATGCTTAGAAACTGACCCCAAAGCATGAAAAGCTAAACCTCATGTATTCTTAAAAAAAACTTTTTGGAATGAATTACGGCATATGAATAGAGGACCATGTAGAACACTGAATAAAATGACTTGGAATTTAATATTAAATTAACTGGTAAATTACTTGTCTGAGTTTAAAATTGGTATTAAGTACAATTTCATGGTAGATTCTGTATGTATTTAAATGGAAGAGAAACAACAAAAGCTGATTATATATTAAAATAATACTAGTGGAAATTATAGCATTTTGTATTTCAAGGATATCAAATAAATATTACAAAAAAGAATAAAGAAAATGTTTAAGAAAAAAAAGTAATAAAATGCACTTTAATAACTGAGGATACTTTGAAAAGGTGAAATAAAAAAGCTAAAAAATAATTATGATCGCCCAGAACCATTTCTTTTTTACCATAATAATCCTGCTTACGTATTGAGAGGTCACTCAAACTCACTTCATCTAGCGACTCGTTATCTACAGTATCAACGTTAGCTGATTAATTCAACGAGTAAAAAATCAGATTCATTTTTCAGTAATTGTCATAAATTTTTTACAGTCACGTTAATTTCATAATAAGGAAATTTATTTATATTATATTTCATAATTTTTATTAAATTTTACTTCATCTATAAATGATTTCTTGTAAGAAATATGAGATCTTGTTTTCAACTACTCATACAAATTTCATTAAATTACAACCTGATGATGTACAATTGTCAGCTTAATAGCAGCTACATGTACAACAATTGTGTCAAAGTTTTCTTCTTCAAACAATTCTGTTTTTCCCCTTTTATATTGACATAATTATCTAAGATTTTTATAGGCTAAAGACTATTGATTCTTTAACCTCAAAAGTCAAAATTCTTCATTAAAAGTTATATACTATAAAATGATAATTCTTTTTTTTTTTTACAGAGAGTAAAGATGAATCCAGTAACTTAATTTCAAAATTGATTTCACATTATATTACAATGAAATGTACAAATCCTTACCAACAGGGTGAAAGTAACATCTAATGCACCTCCTCCACTCAAAATCTGTGGGTTCTCTCAAAGACTTTCTGTTGCACATATTCTCTAGAACATCTCTTAGATAAAGGGATTGCTGGAATAATGAAAACAAACATTTTTTCTTCAATCATTCCAATACCTGTTTACTGCAGTGTATGACTTAAGAGTATCTATCAGAAGTCAAACATTGCATGGCAATTAATTAATACAAAAACAGATAGCAGATCATCTTTTAAAACTTCTCACTTTGAAGTTTCTTGAACTTCTGAATTGCCAAAATAATATTTAAAATGATAAAAAAAAAATATTAGGACTTTACAGCGATCATGGACTCGAGCCTGGCTTTGTGGAGGGGTAACATAGGGTCCTCCAGAGTCCTCCACGCTCCTTTAGTCAGGACAGTGGCCATTTTGGCCCCATCCTTGCCCCTGGGGTCATGATTTGAACAAACTTCAGTGGTCAGTTTAGCTGTGGAAGCCTGGTACTTCTTCATGGTGTTCTATAAATAGAAATGGAGTTGGTTCAGTTTCATTTACCTGTCTATTTTTGTTAAGTTTCAAGAAATCTGTTCCTCTTATGATTATAACAAATAAAAATACCATGTCCAAAATTATTAAGATATTTCAGAGAATTTTTCAAAATGTTGAAGAAAAATTGAAATGAATCTGTCTCTTAGATAAAGAGTAAATGTATTGACTCATTTGTTCTGTAAGCTATTTACAAATGATATCTGTTTTAAATCAGTACTTACATGTTGCAGTGCCTTGCGGTCATACTTGAGTTCCCCTATCCCTGCATCACATTCTCTGGTCCAGTAATACAGCATTCCTATTCTGCAAACTTGTGCTGGGTACTACATAGAGAGAAATAAAAATTGTGGTCAACTAAATTATAACTCGATCATAATACAGTCTTTTCAAACATCTAAACAGGGGATTTTATTTAAAAATCAAAATGGCCCCCGCCCTGACCTTTCATCAATCATGACCCTGTTATTACAGTCCTGTATGATATGTCTCCTGCCCTGACCTTTCATCCATCATGACCTCATTACAGTCCTATGATGCCCCCTATACTGACCTTAGATTCCCATAGATCCATCATGACCCCATTATAACAGTCCTGTATGATCCCCCCTGTACTGACCATAGATGCCCATTCGTCCATCATGACCCCATTTTTACAGTCCTGTATACTAGTATTGCCACTTGTACTGACCTTAGATGCCCATTCATCCATCATGACCCCGTTATTACAGTCCAGTATGATGCCCCCTGTACTGACCTTAGATGCCCATTCGTCCATCATGACCCCATTATTACAGTCCTGTATATGCTCCCTGTACTGACCTTAGATGCCAATTCGTCCATCATGACCCCATTATTACAGTCCTGTATGATGCCCCCTGTACTGACCTTGGATGCCCATTCGTCCATCATGACCCCGTTATTACAGTCCTGTATGATGCTGATGTTCAGTTCCCGCAGTGTCTTGGCCACGGAATCTCTCAGTCTCTGTAACCACACCTCCACACCATCATTCAGGCAAACCTGACCAAAACAGGCAGAGAAAATTTTTAAAATATTTAGTAAATACTAAGTATGAAATGCCAGTTGGCTCATGATGTTGAAGAGCACACCAAATCTAAGTGTTCTTTGGACTATTATTTCTCGCTTTGTGTCTCACAATGTTACAATGAAGCACATACAATGAATAGCATATATAGTAATAATGTTTTCAAAATAATACCATCTTTGAATTCATACTTTACAAAAAACTTTTGAAATTTGTAATCTGGACACTGTTAATTATTACCTCCAGAAAAAAATAATTCAAGTAATACTCTGATCTGTGATATATTGTCCACAAATTTGACATTTTTTAACCACTTCTCTATATTATATGATTAAAGTTGAAATATTGTACCTTATGTTATCAAAATTTAAAAAAAATCAATAAGATCCAATAAATTTAATGAATTTCAATGTTCCAAGAGGCACAAACATTATCTTTAAAGAAATATTTAAATTCGTAAAAACACCATCGGGCATGGTTATATTTTTTTTCAATTTGGCCAGATTAGATAATGTAAGTTCTGATAAAATAAAATAAAAATTATAAAATCCATTGTTCATCGGACCCCGCATGCTCATATTTTAACAGAACAGTACAAATAATATTAATTTAAAATTCCCGCACTATTGGAATTCTGTGCTGTTTTCTGTTACATTTCCGCTCTACTTTTCGTCCTTTTAATCTACTTACATGTACTCTGCAAATCAGAAAAAATATAATTATCCGCTCAATTTTTTTTACACACCTCCTTAAAATTTTCCTTTAAAAAATTAATAATAATATCATTTAACCGCTTGCCCACTCGTACTTTTCTCATCGAATGACCGACGAACTAGAAAATTAATTGGTGTGGCCTTACAGAACATTTCAAACTGTTACAATGGAATTTATACTGGAATGAAATCAAACTTAATAATATACTGGGCGAGATTTGGGAATACACAACTGTTACATTCTATTTACCAGGTAGTTTAAATTACTGTACTAAATCTAGTTTGAATTCATATGTCATTATCAGTCTGATCGAGTGACCTCATATCAGGAAGAGAGCTGAAGTAGGGTATACAGTATGTAAATATTTTGTTTGTTAATACTGATAACCGTGATTGTATTTAATATCTACAATACAGATCTTGTTTATGTCATCAAAAGTGTTACTCCCACTTTTCAAAGTTTCAAAGTCTGTTTGAGAGGCACATATACTGCATGGCCATCTACAGATATTGTAAGTATTCAAATATTATGATATCCTTTATCAAATTCTTATCATTTTACTGACTTACTTATACTGTAACAATAAATTGATATTAAATAATACTATACAATTATGAATTTATGATTATATAATACTATACCGAGCCCGATATTGTTCAATATTTCTATGTGATAAAATATAAATACTTGGTTTTCATAAATCAAATGAAAATTCAAACTTTCAAGTTTGAAGCTTCATTGATTTTTGACAGAATTATGGCATTTTTAATATTTTCAATATTGCTAAGAGAACTGCGATTGTTTACAAAAATATAATGCGGAGAAATATAAATTTTATCTTAATGTGTATTATTTTATTAGTTTTAAGGCATTTACAACTTGAAAATCTTTCAGTTTTACCTTGGACAATATTGTCAAATCAGAGATTATTATATATGCTTGTTATATATGCTAGAAGATCTTCAACAATGAAACTACTATTGAAACAAATCAGGGCCACTTTTGCAATATAATTAAGTATAAACTGGGACAACCTGGTAATTAATTCTTATGCAATAATTCAGAATTATTATAGTAATCATTGCCTATGGGTATAGAAACAAGTAGATACAAAACAAAAGGCCCAAGGGCCACATCGCTCACCTGAGCTAGGAAAAAAGCACATATCAGATCCAATTGAAAAGTTTACTGAGGGGATGGGGGAGGGGGCTTGAATTCTAATACTACTTGAGAATGCCTCCATATCAACACTGCATATAACTTCTTGAGAATTTCTTGAGAAAAAAAAATTTTAAGATTTTATTTGAACATTTTGTTTGTATATATTACTTTGTAAAAATTTGAATTTGACTCCCCATTGTTTCCCTCCCCACCCCATTGTGGCCCCAACCTATCCCTGAAGGTTATGATTTGAACAAATTAGTATGTACACTTCCCGAGGATGCTTCCATATGAATATCACTAATCATGGCATTGCAGTACTTGAGAAGAAAATATTTAAAGATTTCCCTAGTTCCTATGTAAAACTTTGATCACCCATTGTGGTCCAACCCTACCCCGTGTGTCATGATTTAAACAAACTTGAATGTGCAGTACCTGAGGATGATTCAACATGAGTTTCATCTTTTCTGTCCCGATGGTTCTCTAGAAGAAGATTTTTAAAAGATTTTCCCTATATATTCCTATGTAAAACTATGTGACCCCGGCCTACCCCCAGGCATCATGATTTGAACGAACTTGAATGTACACTACCTGAGGATGCTTCCACATGAGTTTCATCTTTCCTGGACCAATGGGCCTGGAAAAGAAGATTTTTAAAAGATTTTCCCTATCTTTACTGATGTAAAACTTTGATCGGCCATTGTGGCCTCACCCTACCCCAAGGGGTCATAATTTGAACAAACTTGAACCTACACAACTTAAGGGTGCTTCCATATGAGCTTCATCTTTCCTGGCCCAATGGTTCTGGAGAAAAAGATTTTTAAAAGATACCATTAATTTTTCATTGTGGCAAGTTTGGTTAAAATTGGCCCAGTGGTTCTTGAGAAGACGATGAAAATGTGAAAAGTTTATGACAAAAACGATGACAACGACAACGACAACAGATGACAGACAAATTTTGATCAGAAAAGCTCAATTTAGCTTTCTGCTAAGTGTGGTTACCATAATAAAAGAATTATTTCTTCCTCGCTGTGAAGAACCAGTTGTTACTGTATTTTCAAGCTAAACAGTCGGATCAAAGTCTTGTGAAAAACTTATGTGCCCATTACTCATGTTTTAATCAGTGAATAGAAACTTTATAATTTTCAGATGGCATTATTCAAAATGGACATTCCTCAAAGAGCCCAGCACTTTTTAGAGTGTGGCATTGAAGAGTGTGATAGAAATTGTGAGTTCTATTGCAACCCTTGTCATCAAAGGTTGTGCAAACAATGCAGAGATGAACATCTGAAAAGTCCTGAAAACAAAAACCATGAGGTGGTCCTTTACCAACAACGCAAGCAACAACTTCCTGTGGAGAAATGCAAGATCCACCCCACTAAAGATGTGGACATGCTCTGTGAAGAATGCCAGGTTCCATTATGTTCTAAATGTGCTACAATGGGAGACCACGAAAGACATAAATTTGTTGATCTTGAAATAGTCTATGCAGAAAAATTTACACTCTGTCAACAGGAAATCTCCAAAATTTATGAGTACTTTCTCCCTACATCACAAGATTTACAGAAAGAAATTAAAAAAGATTGCTCAGAAATTAAACACATCATGGACAACATCAGAACATCCATGAAGACTGAAGGTGAGACCCTGAAAAGTCTGGTGGACACAGTCATATCTGAGAACATGAAGCAGTTAGACCAGATAGAGCATTCACTGTTAGAAGATCTAAACACCCAAGACAAGACCATGGATGATTACATCACTTATCTTAATAACCTTGTCAAAGAGCTCCATAAATACCTGTCCTCTACAGAAACCCAGAAATTAATGTCTGAGAAGAAACCAAAAATCCGATCCATACCAGAGACAACAAAACCAGTCACACCAGGATTTACTGCTGGTCAATACAGCAAAAGTGATGTCACCAAATTACTTGGTAAAATACATGTCCCTAACACTAAAGCAGAAAAAAGAGAAATAAGGCCCATTGAAAGTGTCCACAATATAGCAAAGAAACCTACACTTAAACAGATGAAAGAAGATAGAAAGAAATCTGACAAGAAACAAACAATGTCTCTATCTGCCTCTGTCACCAAGGTCAGGGAGTTCAAGGTACCAGGTGTTGATCGTGTATTCCATGTATCACGAGATCAATCAGACAGACTCTGGATCAGTGACTATAAAGGTAATCTTGTCCAAACAGATCTACAGGGGAATGTGATACAGAAGATAAAAACTAGTGCTGGATTTGGTTACCACACAGTCACACAGGATGGTGATCTGATCTTTACAGACAAAGACAAGAACGTCATCAATAGGATAACACAGGATAATAAAATCACTGAATTCATTAAAACTGGAGACTGGATACCACTCAGCATACACTCCTCCCACATCAACGGGGACTTACTGGTGGGGATGAGGAAGGATATAGAGGGTAAAGTCACCAGGTACAACAAAACAGGAAAAGAACTACAGAACATACAGAGGGATAACAAAGGACAGAGACTGTATGGTGGACCACGCTATATCACAGAAAACATCAATGGAGATATCTGTACATCAGACTACTATAAAGGAGTAGTGGTGGTGAATAAATCAGGACAACACAGGTTCTCCTACACAGGTCAGGGGTCAGGGTTCTCTCCCTATGGAATCTGTACTAATGTCCTCGGTCACATCCTGGTGTGTGATGTTATCAGTAACACTGTTCATCTCCTTGATCAGGACGGTCAGTTCTTGTCTCTATTACTCACACAACAACAAGGGGTAGACTGTCCCCGTAGTGTGTGTGTGGATGATGAGAACAATCTCTATGTGGGACAACTAACCGACACAATGACAGTGTACAAGTATCTACAGTGATTCTATTCTGACAAAAAAACACATCATGTGAAGTATATACCACCAGACATAAAATGTTGATCTATTTACCTGTCCTACATCTACTTTTATCGATGTAATTGTTTGGAATTGTTATTATAATATTTATAAATAATGATTCAGAAGTGTATAAGTATAAATAAAATACTTAATAAATGGATTTTTCAAATGCACATAGTTGAGGGTAACATTGAAAATTTTCACGGTCTCCCCATAAAAACTATGTCAAGCAATGTTAACTGTTGCTACACTGGAGAGCATGCAGCTTCATCATCAGTGGGCAAGTGTTTTTAACAAATATTTTTTGACGAATGAGATTCAACTTATTTATATTAAATGAAACATTGATATACACTGATATAACTTCTATTACGGTAACCGTTGTATTATTGAGCGGCAAATTTGAACTCATAAACGGCAGCACAATTTTACATCCACAGTTGTTAAATTATTTTAAAATTAGATTACAAAGAATGACTCTAATTTTTGCCCAAATTCGAGTACAACCTGGTTTGGCTTCGCGGATTAAAAAGCGTAAACTGACCCAAACCAGGTTATATTGAATAATTTTTAAAGCATCAATATACAATTTATATATATAATGAATACAGTGGACCTTCAGATATTGTGAAACATTGATATACATTGATGTTATTAAACAATTATAATTCATAAAACGAAATTTTTTAAGATGTTATTCTGTCTTGTTTAACTGGTGTTTCAGATATCCAGATATTTTTTCACATATCCGGACAAATTTGGGAACCAAAGCATCCAGATTATATCCACTGTAATACCATGGAAAATTTTTATCAGTATTAATAGGAGGTCTTTGAATTCACCCTGTTTAAATTCGCCCAAATGAGAGTATGACGTAAGGACGAAAATTTCCCTGTATACAATATTCAACTGCTCCCTCTTTACTTTTCCTACCTTATCATGCAGTAGAACCATCTCTCCATCTGAACTAGAGACAGACACAGCATCTCTAATGATGACATCCTTGATGATCCCCTCTGAGGGCAGGTAGGCAGGGCCATGGGCCATAGCACTGGGGTTCACACTCTGTAATGCCAGATCAAAACTTCATCATCTTTTTTAAAAATAAAGTTTAACATATCTTTTTATCTGATTATGTATCAAAGTACTGGTAGTTTTATTTGCAATTTCCTACCAATTTATTCACTTTATTTTATCAGGGATTTCATAAATCTTGTGAAGATCAAGTTGAATTATTGTATTAATTAATTTGATGAAGATGCTATATTAAGAAGTATTTCAAAAAGTTCATTTTGCCTATATGGACTTTGATGTGCCAAATTCCAAACATTGACATAACTTATGAAAAATTGCCTCCTGCCTCCTCTTATTGAAAAACCTGTTTATTCCTAACATCAGGTCATGTTTGCTGAACAGAAACTCAAACATGCATGATTTAGATATATACCCTTCTAAAATTTTATTCAACAAATACATAATTTAATAAATTCAATTTTTTTTTTTAACTCAAAACTTTCCAAGTGTACCAATGTATTGAAATATAAATATACAAGAATTATGAAAATATAAAGTATTAAATTCAACTTCTAAATTTTAAATGAAACTGATTTTTAAAAAAATAGATATGAAACAATATTGTTTATACTTTTCTTATACTAAAATACATACCACATGCATTTAAAATACAGAAAGTACCACCGATTTTATACACACACATTAAGCTAATATAAGTAATAATGCGTGCAGATCAACATACATGTAATTATTACTGTGGTATATGTATCATTAAAAATTGAATTTGAAAATAATTTTTGTCATCATTATGACAAAACTAAAACACCTTAAATTCAATGGACAATCAAAACATGCATACAAGTATAACATAACAAGTCCCAAAAATTGTGCAAATACACCTTCAAAATTGAATGCTTTGAAAATTCACCTAAATGTCAACAGAATTGCACAATACAAAATTATATGAAACACGGTAACAGTTGAAAACACTGAGAGTGCAGGTTCTTACGTATTGGGAGAAGTTAACTCCCTTTATTCCCGACATCTTGGATCTTACTCTCTTTTTTGTACTTTCTTTTTCCTGCTGTTGATTATGTCATCAAATGAATAAAATTAAAATTAAAGTTAATTTTTTTTCACCCCCAAAAATTTATTTTTAAAAATATATATTTAGTTTAAACTTTGAAAAATTAATACATCATTCTGATCATTCGTTTATTTAAAATCTAAAAAAATAAAAACATTTTCCATTTTCTAATATTTTCATAGATGATTTTACTATTTTAATATATTTAATTTTTTATTCCAGTGTTTAATTATGCATGCTGGGTACCTTTTGAAGTTTAGATGCTTTTTGTTTTTCTTC